CCTAAATGGTGAGTTCTCTGTAGAAAGGCCCTACCCCTTCTTCTGCAAAAGTGGAAAGGGCAAAAGAGGCAGAAGAGCATGAGAAGTTACAGAAAATAACATATCAAAGGAAAAGCAGCCTGTCTGGACCAGATCAAAGAGATGAGAGCTTTACTATTCAAGGTGGTTGCGGGGGCAATCTGTACATTAAAGGGGAAAAATTGATTGATCAGGAGAGCCTCTATTTAGAAGCTGTTGTTAACAGTGTCCTTGCTGAGTCTGTCTCACAGAATTATTTCAGAAGCAGGGAAAGAAAGCAGGTCCCCAGAGCTCAGGGCTGGGTTAATGTCAGGATATCTGAGAATGAGGGAAGTGACATACAGTTGCACAACTCAAAAGCAATGACGTATTCTCTTACCATGACAATGGGATAGATTAGGAGAAGAAAGAAGGATTTGGTGGCTATGTGGCACAGATAATTTGGTGGCTTTGTGGGTGAAAGGGTAGATTTATTGTTTCTCCTGAGACAGTTCTTATTCTGTAGCCTAGCTGGCTTCAAGCTTGTGTTTGTTCAGCACCAGTCTCCTGAGTTCTGAGATTACAGGTATGCGCTGCATTGCCTAACATTGATATCCATGAATAACAGCAAATTCTGGCCATAGTTTCCAGAGCCTATAAGGAAAAACAGTGATAGAAAGCGTTCATTTTAAAAAATGGAATCAAAGTAGTGACTGCTGACAGCCCCATTCAAAAATAATTCCAGAGGTTGGAGAGATGGCTCAGCCATTGAAAACACTGGCTGGTCTTATGAAGGACACTGTTTTGATTCCCAGAATCTACATGGTAGGTAACAATTATATGTATCTCTAGTTCCAGGGAATCCAATGTCCTCTTATGGCATCCTTGTTACATATATGATGTATATATATATGCACATAGCCAAAACACCCACATGTATAAGATAAAAAATACCTAGAAACAAACAGCATGTTATATCTTCCAACATGTCCTGCTGGTGGGGTTGGTTGTCTTTGTTGTTTTGATTCTCTAATAAGAAATGGAGACTTTGCAATACTGAGTAATTCAGTTGACTTTACCATTGCTGGCTAAGCAAATGCATAAATAAGATTGTTTCATCTTTAGGGCAGAAGGAGATGGTAGAGTCCGAAGCATGTCATTAAAAAGAGGAGGTGAAAGCAGGCATGATATAAAGGCTTGAAATCCTAGCCCTTGCAAGGCTGAGGCAGGAGAACTGCTGCAAGTTTAAGGCCATCCTGGGCTACAGAGTGAAACTCTATCTCAGTGACCCTTCCTTCCCCAAAGAGGTTAAATGAAAACATGTTTCTCAGGTAAGCAAAGCTATCTAGGTAGATGAAGGCATGGAGTGCCACATAAACTAAGGGATGTTGTTACATTGTTCGCTGTCATTCTCATCCCCAGACTCAACAGCACGTGGGAAGCCATAACCCTCATGGAGATGATGGACTGACAGGGACAGACCTAGAGCAGCTTCAGTTTCCTAGGAAACATTACAGATACAGAAGCATAGACAAAGGTCTCAAAAGAATGGACAAAGATTGGGTTGAGAAAATGGGGACAGAGTCAAATAATTAAGTGGGACTTCATAGACAGAGTGGGCATGAGCAGGGGATACCAGATTGGTAAGACACCAAGGGGTAAATACTGGAGATGAGGTGGGAGACTGACAGTGGGCACTGTGACTGCGTGTGAGAGATTTGCAACCTCAGTGGGAAGGAAAAATAATGGTAGACGAGGCTAGTGGAAGAGACACATTTCCAGTGCTCTCTGCACTCATTGACTGTAGCGAGGGCTTATCAATGGTCATCCTCTTGATGTTGAACTTTTAATTAATGGCCTCATCAAGCAACAGGGGCCCAGGACTCTGAGAGGGACCAGGATTTATGAGTAGGTGCAGAAGGGCCAGCTCAGCCCTTGGAGGACCCCATACTGTTGAGGCCAAAGCTGCTGCTATTCTTGTATTTCATGTTATCAGAGGGAGGAAGAAAGCTTCTTCCATGAGGAAGCTTCAAACCAGCACAGTTGAAGGTTGGGACATTTTCTAGTAATGAAAGCACTTGCGTGACAGAGGCACCTGCACCTTCCTAGGTGTTGACATTGGGCATACTCATTGCTTCCTGAGAACTGAAGCTGACAACAGTTGTTCAAGGTAGACTACACTATTTCTCTAGGATCCAGCAACCAAAGGTGAACATCCTTGAGTATGTTCATTTGGAAAGGTCAGTAGAGTCAGGAACCAAAGATCAGTCACACCAGCAACATGAGGTTGGAAAAGGCACCAGGCAGAGATGCACACATGGAAATAGGAGGTGGGGGGAGGGAGCAAATATGGGAGGGAGCAAAAAATTGCATCATTCCCAACAAAGACAAGATTCCAGGGCTGACAGACATTCCAGGTGTAGTATAAACTCACACTGAGAGGTACCGGGAGCACATGGACTATAGTTTGTCAGCACGTGAAGTGACAAAAGCTGGCCCCAAGTGAGAAATACAGCCTCCTCAAGTTCTGCCCAGCAGAGCTAAGCAAGGGCGGAAGCTTCTCACACCCAGTTCTCGAAAGCACTAGACTACCACACCCAGACATGTGGGGAGAAAAAAGGACCCAAGAGGTTGTATTCCCCATTGACTGTGACTTTATTTGACAGTAAAACCAGGGGGAAAGAAGTTGTTGAGTATACGGCTATTAAAAGAATACCACCAGCATATGGAAACTAAACTAAAATAATTGAGTTATCACCCCAAACATACTTATATTGCCTAATATCTCACAATGGCTCCAGATATTAGAAGCAATTTTTACTTTTAGTTTTGTTACCTCCCAGAACAGCTAAACTTCATTATGTTATCACTTCATTCAAGATGTTGCAGTGTCTCATCATTTCCCCAGACCCATCTTTCGTCAGGCCTTAAAGGGAAGGCCCACCATCTCACGACTCCATTATATAACAAACAAGCCCATATTTTTCTATTCATGTTCTCCTTCCACATGGCTGGGACTGAATACAGATGTGTCTACATGTTGATGATGATGTTTCAAGGGCCAGGGATACTATAGTAACACTGATGTTTCCCAAAGGGGCTTGAGGTTCGGGATGGTGAAGTCCTATTCTTCTTTGATGCTGTAGAATTGGAGTGAATTTTTAGACAGGTTTGCGTGGAACTGAGTATCAGTGACACTTGCCCTATTTTTTTAGAACCATGGCTGCTTTCTCCTGGATCTATAATAAGAAAACACAACATTCTGGGTGTCTATGCTTTGAGGCCACAGGACTTTCCCTGCCCCCTATGCTATTGCCTGAGGCATTGGCAACTGAATCACATCTGTCTGAACGGAGAAAGTAGGGGTATTTCTTTATCTCTGGCACTTTGTTCTGTCATAAGACAAGAAATACTATCATGGCATTATGTACACAAGTTGAAACTATAATATTTGACCTTGAGAATGCCTGTTTTGTTGGGCCATTTTCCCCCGCCTGAAGTTTACCAATTCTACTTCGAGGAAATATGATTATCCATTTGGGAGAAACTGCCATGGAGGCTGTAACTGTGAAAGCCCAGTTCCGTTCTCTTTACTACTTCTCCTGGCAAAGGGCATCAAATGTGGATCTCCTCACTACAAGTTTCAACAGAAATGCCGCAAGAGTGGCTGAGGAACTATTAGACAAGCACCAGAACAAATGTAACGATGACACTTGGCTCATAGAGACACACTGACCTTATGACTGACTGACTGTTAAGCCAGGAACCTCAGCATGATGGGCGTCTTGGTTGGCACCATTCTTTGTCTGGAAGGTTCACCTGGGAAGTACAGGATATTTAGTGCCATTGACATCTACCCTTGAGATAGCAGTAGCTCTTACCTCTGGGCACAACAAAAATGGCCTCTGGATATCACCATGGAATAGTAAGCAATCTCTTGTTGAGGACCAGACTCTTAAATCTTAATTTCCTCATCTATAAAGCAATGCTATGAGAGTGGAGAGTTGCTGTTTATAGTAAAATGATATTATTTAATTTTTGAAAGGTTCTCTGTGTGTGCAAACACATACACACACACATACACACACACACACACACACACACACACACACACACACACACACACAGTACTTCCAGAAGGTAAAAGAGCACACTGGATCACCTGGACTGGACTTACAAGTGTTAGTGCTCAGTGATTTTCAGTGTTAGTGCTCAGGTCCTCTGAAAGAGCAGTAATTGCTCTCAGCTTCTGAAGAGGGTATCTGCGCTGTGACTATTTTCCAGACCCATTTGTGGGTGACAGGTTTCACTTAGATATGACTCATCTGGCATAACAGACAAGGATGTTAGGAGAAACTCATCCCATTGACAGCTGTAAAATTGCAAGTTTGGTATTTACAGGTGCATCTGTGTTTCTAAACCCACTATTTGAATGCAAGATTGAGAATTGAACCACCTCATCATTGTAGTTATTTTAAGGTTGAAGATCCTACAAAAAAATTATAGTGTAATTAGCTCTTGTAGAACAATAAATATTTATTTTCTAGAAGCTTATTAACTCCAGTATTGGAATAAAATCAATGGCCCTCATGTGCTGAGTAATATTATTTTATGCTATACCCATGCTCCAGGAAGAAAAGGTTTCAGCCTGGAGCTGCTATCCTAGACAATGCTGCAGCCCAAAGAAAAGCTCAGGGGTGATGGGCGTGGCTTTGCGGAGAAGGCTTTAAGGAAGGAGAGGCCAAGAGTTCCCCCTGAGATCAAAGCCTGCTGTTTGGAGTAGCTAAAAGGACAACATAAGGGACAGGCGATTCCATTCACAGCGGGAATGAGCTCTGCACACTGAAATTCAGCAAGACAGAGAGAGCCCCAGTCTTGCTCCTTACACAGATTCAAATCTTTAGACACCTTTAGGGACTCTTACCAGTTTGAATGTTTGCCTGGAGGACTCTCCATTCTTTTCTTAAATAGTATGAACAAAAACATCTACTTGCAAGAGATCCTTCACACTCAATTTTGTTCTTTTATTATCTCTTCCATGGGAAAAAAAGGTTACTGAGTGCCGATGTTAGATACAATTCTGATTTTTTTTTTTTTTTTTTTTTTTTTGTGCAAGCCGCTTTTGCACAATGGCAGGCAGAGAGAGGAATACAACCGACTCAGAAGCGCAAACAGAACAAATTAAAAGATGAGCAGGGTTTAAAATGAGTCTCTGGTGGCTGCTGGTGATGACTCATCCTGACTAAAAACAGACTGCGGCACTGAACACCGAGGGCATAGACGTGTAGGAGACAAAGTGGAAAAAGCAACCTGAGTTTAGGGCATAATTCCCATAAATGAAATATCATCAAATAATCCTGAAGATGACAAAATATAGGGAAACTTAAAATGATGTTTTCACTTCATTTTAACCCAGTATTAGTTTTCTTAAGAGATTCGTGTACACCCTTGATGGAGCATCTGCGACAAACCCACAGCCATCCAGCATATTATAAAACAATCTTTAGTTTTCTTGATTGACAGCAGAGAAAAGCAGGACATTGTTTTAGTATATTAGAGTATCTGGCCCTTTAAATTTCAGTAGATAAAGAAAATATTGATGGAATAGAAAATGTGTTCTTGTTGGTCTTAAACCTGTGATAAAATGTTGCTGACAGAGTAATTATGAATGTTTTATATGATCAGCGCATATGTGCTCCTTGCTAAACCAATTTAATTCCCATTAATGCTAATCTTGTTAATATCCACTCAGAGAGCAAGGAGTGCTCTTAATAAACTATTGATTCATTTGAGCCATTTAGACAGAGGATGGGAGGTAGGAGCAGAGGAGAAGCCACCATTCTACCCACAACCATGTTTCTTAGAATATTTTCCAAACATTAATGAGCACCAGGCTATAATTCATATGAGAAGGAAATGGGAGTGGGGAGAATGTGGATAAAGTGAGTGTTAGGCCTCAATCTGGGAAAACTGGAGGATCAGGGAAGGAGCTGAGCTCAGACATGAGATACTACAAAGGAAGGCAGATTCTGTTTCTAAAACAAGGTAAAGGGAATTCGTATTTGTAAGTTCTAATTGAAGAGAGCTTTTTCTTAAAAAAAAAAAAAAGTCATATCAACAAGCAGTAAGCACTACTCTCCCATACTCTTAGCTGTATCTGTTCATCTTCCTTCAAAAGAAGAATTCTGTTATTTCTCTAACTCAAATGACCAGCCCATAGGTCAGATTTCCCTGTCTCAGCATGCTTTGATCAGCCAAGAGGCAAGAGCTTGTGTCCCCATCTCAGTGACTTCCTTGAATACAGTTATGTAATGAAGCTGGGCGCCTAGGCCAGCCTGGAACTCAGATTGCTGTAATAGACCCGCCCTCCGCCCTGTCAGGATCACTCCGGAGCGTCTTCTAAAGCTCCAGGTGTCTTATGCTTCCCCCGCCCCCCGGGGTGGGGAGGGAAGGTGGGATGTTGTCATAAAATCGAGGAAAAGTGGCAGGCAGGATTTTGCCCAGGATCCACCATCCAGCTTTAAGGTGAGTCATTCAACCTCCCTGAGACTCAGTTTCCCCTATCTCTAAAACAGAAAATGATGATTCCTGTAAAGACAAGGGAAACCTGCCCTGTGCGTATGCAGAGTATCACTAACTGATAAGTGACTTCTGGGAAAAGTGACCAGGAGAGAGAGAGAGAAAAGCGGAAGGCCCGGTCTCAAAGTCTATCAGGTTTCTGTACTTGACAAAAAGAGAGGTTCACCCTGGGGATTTTCAGCTTCAAGGTTAGTGGGTACTGGTGCTGATTTAGCCTTTCTGAATGAGTGTTCAGAACATAAACACACTGAAGAGATGAGGCTCCTTAAATACGTGAGATCTCCTTTTCCGCTATGCACGTGTTTGGTGCTGGTTATCCATGGGGACCATAGAGGGGTGGAATACTGCAACACACACTTAATACACAAATATTAAACCGTCTTTTCTCTACCGACTGGTACAAAAATATATTATACTTTTATATATATATATATATTTTTTTCTTTTTAAATTATATCTACTATCCATCCCAGCCGAAGTCGCGGCCGGTCATCTGGTAGAACTTGCGGTTGAAGGGCCGGTAAAAGTCACGCAGCTGCCGCAGCACCTCGCGCGCGATGGCGGGGTGCGCGCGGCCCTTGGTCTTGCCCAGGCAGTGCGGCTTGCCGCTGCCCTCCGCCTTCTTGAGGCACGGGAAGCCCTTGGTCTGGTTGAAGTAGAAGTGCTTGTCGGTGATGATGCGCTTGAGGCCCAGGAAATCCTGCACGCGGCGCAGCTCGCCGGCCGGGTCGCTGACCAGCCGCTCCCCGCTCACGAAGAGCATCTGGCGCAGCGGGAAGTGGCGCAGCCAGGGCTCCAGGTGCTTGGCGTACAGGCCGATCTGGATGGCGCTCCAGGACGTGTCGATGAGGCCCGCGCTGCGGTTGCGGAACGTCAGGCTCTCGAAGCTGGGGATGTCCGGCCGCTTGGACAGCGTCTGCGTGTAGTCCGAGATGGCCCTGGTCACCGGGTCGCGCACCACCACGATGAGCTTGGTGTCCTTGGACATGGCCGAGATGCGAGCGGGGGCCTCCCGGGTCACGAAGTAGCTGGGCGTCTTCTCCATGGTGATCTGTCCCTCGAGGGTTCTGGGCATCAGGTCCCTGCGGGAGGCGGGAAGGCACGTTAGAGCCTGGAGAGTAAGCCAAGTCCCCTTCTGGACCCCAGGAGCTGAAGAAGCCCCCCATCTGGGTTCTTCCCTGTGGGTTGCAGTTGCGGCTCGCTGACTTCCTGAATAGCCTGATGGTGGTGACTGCTCTGCATTCCTTGAGCATGGGCCTCAGAACAATCACTGCCCCTGTCATACAGCTTTTGTGTCAATTAATCAATACACCTCAAGAGCTAAAAAAATGCCCCCGACACAGGATAAAGGCTCTGTTACTGTTATTCTTCTACAATACTCAAAGTCGGTGTGTTGCGAAGGTGAATTACATCTTTACAAACACAATTACAGTGCTTTCAAATGGCTGGTGCCATACTGTTTGCGCCTATCCCAAGTCATTGCCCTCCACACAGAAGCTATCAATTTCTCTCAAAAGGGATTCCCTCAATAACAGAGGGGTTCTTTTTGAGGATTGATTTTACTTTTTAATTATGCGTCTCTGTGTGGGTTTGCAGGCATGAATGCAGGTGCTTCTGGTGACCAGAAGAGGGCGTCGTATCTCCTAGAGCTGGAGTTGGAGAGGACTGTAAGCCTCCTGAGCTGGGAGCCGAACTCCGGTCCCCGGAAAGAGCAGCAGCACGTGCTCGGCAGCACTTAGCCAGCTCTCCAGCCCGTCTTCTTAAGCATCATTTCAAATGAACATTTCTTATGTCCGTGATTTACTTCCCCCTAGTTCCAGTTGCCTGCCTCCAAGAACAATCCAAAATTATTGCACAGGAATTTCAGGAATAAACAATCCGTAACTTTTAAATTGCATGCCATTCCTAACAGCATTGTAAAAGCCCCCGTCCCCTGGTCTCCCTGTCTGTCTAGGACACGGATCATTCCTCTGTCCGCTCCATCCATGTTGCATACACTATCTGTCCATTAGTCACTTATTGGCTAACTCGGAAAGCGAATCAGCTGTCACATTTTCAAAGTTCCTGTGCAATGGAGGCCCTAAAGGAAAAGTGACAGGGCGTCAGGGCACAGCGCATAGGAGCAAACATTAATGCTGCAGTTGTATGCAAAAGGTACAGGGCATGTAGGGAAAAGGAAGGTAGCACATAGCACATAGGTCTGGTATTAGCCTGGATTTCAGACTCCCCCACTGGGACCCTTGGGGTGGGGTAGAGGGACAGGCCTCCTGAGTACAGCAGAAATGACTCTTCTATAACACAAAATACATTCATTCGTGTACAGCTCCTGCGGTTCAAGCTTGTATGTAATGGTTAGAAATGACCCGATTATCGTGTTCTTAAAGCCTTGGTTTCTTTTCTGTTCCTTTGGAGTTTGCTGGAAATCACTTCCATCCAGGCCCGAGAATGTATGTGCTGGAGGCAGAAAGGATGGTGTGGTCTCCGGGGGCTTTCCTCTCTCCTGTATGGGTGCAGCTCTGTGCTAAACTTCTCTCTTGTCTCCTGTTGATTTGGGGGCAATTATAATTCTTCTAAAACCCACCTAGTGTGTACTCACGGCTCTGCCTCCATTCCCTGGCACACTTTGTGCATTCTGCCTTTCTTTATTCCTTCTTGGTTAAACCCCCTTTCCTAATTCTCCAATTTGCATTTTAGCTTCTTAATAATGCCCCATCCCTGTTAAGCTGTGCTTTGTTGGTCCCTTCCAATGGGTTGAATTACATGCTTTTTTTTTCCTTCTTCTTCTTCTTCCAATCCATCTTAAGTCATAAAGCCACTTTACGTTTTAAGACTCACTTTTCAAGTGGGGATTGATGTGAAGTACCAGCATTCAACTCATCATCTGTCAATACCTATCAGTTACACTGAAGAGTCCTGCTTTCCCTTTAGATGCAAACATCATCATCCTCGTCTGCATTTATTTTTAATTTTAATGACTGTTTTGTTTTCATAAATTTGTGGTATCTATTTTTCATTTGTTCTGAAAGGATCCACTTTGTGCTGGGTGCCTCTCCCACTACCTGCCCCAGCTACACTGCTTGCTAAGTATACGTTAAGTGGGAAGCTTCAAACGTAAAAGATGAAAAGATGTCAACTGAAATCTCAGGCATCTCCTATCTCCTTCAAGAATGCATAACAATGGCCAGTTTTATTTATGAGCTCCCCCACCTCCACCCGGCCCCCTCTCCTCCCTAACCGTGCCACCTGGATTGCTTTAAAGCCAATTGGCAGACATCCTCTCAATTGCTTTGCAAGTATTTGCGCTCCCAAGTGGCTTATTTCTGGCACACACTCCTCAGACTTTGAGATGCCTAGTGCTAACCATGCCTCTGCTTATACGATGGAGGCTTCCCCCATGTTTGTCACTTTGGAAGTTTTAACCAAGTGATTTTACTCTTCTTTGAGGGGGGAAGGCTAGTTGTGCATTTGACCTATAGTGCTCAGCTCTCTATTTTTAACTTTAAAAAAAAATTACAATTTATTTTATAGAAGGATATGCCACATTAACCCTCTCTTGATACACCTTAAGATCTGGCTGTAGGTGAGCACAGCTCAGAATGAGCAACACAATTGAGATGCCTTTCCTCACCTGTGCATGCCAGGTTCTCTGAGGAGTCAGCTAGACCAACCTGCTTCCAGAACGAAAAATGCTCTTGATCGGCACAAGCTGGGAAACCTGGCCAGAGATGGTTGGAATTTCCCAGTAAAAGAAATGTGATCAAATTTATGTTGGGCTTTAAGCAAACAGCAAACCCTCTGACAAGGTAAGGAGTGTGTGCTGACTTGAAAACAGAGAGATGGGTTCCTGCCTTCTTGTCTATAATCACTACTTTATTTTACATTTTGCCCTGAATCTGAAGAGAGAGCAGACTGCCTTTGGTAGTTCCTGGCTGGCCTGTCTCTGGGAGCAAATAGACCCCTAGGAAACTTTCTCAGATTTCTACAGATTGTGCTTGGCCAAAACAAATGCTACTAAACCTCACAAAAAGAATCCATATTTTAGAAAGTCTACCCCAAATAGGTGCTTGGAAAGAGACAGCCCAAACAGGACTTCCCAAAAAAGTCACCCTTGTCACCTCCTGTCCCTCATAGGATGGGGAAATCTGGTTAGAGTAGGAATGGAGAATTACTAAACCATGGATAGTAGTCTAAGGTCAAGAGCTCTGGAGACTGATTGCAAAGCGTGTACGTGATTAATATTCCTGAACCTAATAACACAGAAACATTGAACTAGTAAACATTTTGCTAAGCACAGTACAGCAACTTTTTTTTTTTAAGCACTCAAGAAGGAAAAAAGGATGGATCTATCTAGACTATATCTTTCATAAATAAGTACTCAAAAGGGATGTGGTTTCATTTTCTTCTTGCTGGACTAAAAAGAAATAATATAATTTTTGACAGTTTATAGAGCTGATCTGAAATTAGAAAATGGGGTTTGTGGCCTATCCCTTCTAAATGCTGAGGGAGATGCTGGTGAGTGGGGGGAGGGGAGAATCTATAACTTAACTTTCCTAAGCTCAGTTTATTTATCTCAAGGGAAAAGTCAAGGTAAATGCCTCCCGAATCTGGCCTGTTAAAGACTGCCAGTGTGACTCTGCTGTAAAGAACATACCAAGGAATGCTCTGAAGGAGGTGATAGTCAGTGACCTGACTCAATGGCAGAAGGATGCCCCCCAACAGTCCCTAGAATAGAACTCTAAATAAAACCAGAATTTCATTTTCTGACATGACTCTGGGGTACCCAGCATTGGCCCACTGGGTGAACAGATATTAAGGATGCCAGCCTTGAAGGTCATAAGCTGGTCACTGCCTTTGGAAAGACATTGGCTGGTTGTATTGGAAGAGGTGAACACAGTCTGTAAGTGGATTCTGTGACTTCCCACAAGGGGCCATCATGCCAGAAAGAACAATTCATCAGAGCTTGTGTCTGATTCAGAAATCATGCCACCCTCATGTTTGAGCTGATCTCTCACCGGGTAATCTCTCTGAGTAATTTCTGTGGATAGGGTTGTTCCTGTAGCTGTAATATAGTGCAGGAAATGTTAGAGCCAAACAGGCACCAGGACAGACAGGCTAAGCAGATTGTTTTTTTTTTTTTCTACCAAAGTCAATGGTTAAGACAACAGTTGATGGTGGGGGTGTTGGAATGATCTGGCAGGCTTTCCCTCTTCACACTGAGGAGAGGACACCCTCGCCTTTGTGTTGGGCATCATGGATATAAGAATCGGGATGTATTGTTGAATTGGGTGGCCAACGCTTTGCCATGGTCTGCATACAGACACCTGTGTAACTGGAGAGTCATCTAGAAAGAGTGGTCCAGTCACTCAGCAACTATGCTCAGTATCCATGTAATACGAACAAGAAGGTGCAAGAGGGCCCATGTGTTTAGTCATTATTAGTAATTTGGGCCCTTTCTCCTAGATCCTCTCTATCCCCACACCATCTTCTCGATCCCCATCTACCCTGTGTAATTGCTACCAACCATTCTCTAGAAGTAGCTTCAAAGGAATGAATGAGTGAATAAATATTTCTTTCCTATTTGTTTTTAATAAATTGTATTTATTGATCTTGATTGATCACCGCTTGCTATACATAAGAATCAATCCCAAATTGCTTATAGATATAAGCAGGATAGGAATTTACAATGATTAATGATTATGATTAATGATATGAAGGAGGAAAAATGTTTAGCATGTATTGAGGAAATAAATTATTAAACTGATTAGTTGGAATAAATGAAAAGTGAAGATGTTTATCAAATGATACCATCAAGTGGTATAAAGATGCAAACTCCAGAGTGAGAGGAAATGTCTTCAAAATGCATGTCTGTCAAAAGCCATTTCTGTAATATATAAAGAATCCCAAGTCAGTAAGTTAAATTAAAAAAAAATAAGTAAACAGAATAAAAGAAAAATGAACGAAAACTTTAACTAGCCATTTTGTACAAAACATAGCATTCAATACTCTTGAGAAGTCATTACGATTATTTATTTATCAGGGAAGTGGAAATTAAAACCCTGTATCAATATCATAATGTGACTCA